CCAACACCAACGCCACACCCAACACAGACACCAACAATCACAGCAACAACAAAAAGAGAGCACAGAAATAACACAACTACGCAAACAAAAGCAAACAGAAAAACAAAACAAACACGGCGCCAAACCCCGAGAGACTCTGGCGTCTCATCTTTTCAGACGCTCGGCGAGTTCGCCCTGACTCGGGCCCCAGGACTCCGGCGGATCGATCCGGCTCGAAGAATGCTGCAGACAGATGGGGTCCAAGGCTCTGGACGTGATTCTGCCGATATATATATGTATATACTATAACCATCGCGCGCGCTTCGCGCGCGCTCGAGTTCTAGCAAGGCTTGATGGGCAAACTCATGGAATCGAATGTTGGTCGTTCCCTGCATCTAAGGACTCTCTTGAAGGAATCGTATAGAAAGGGAACTGCGGAAACACAGAAATCATTAATTCCCGTTCGGTATTCAACGATTTGGGGCCCTCAGAGACTTCCTGTGTTCTTTTCTGGGAGCTGAGGGGGGTCTTAATTGACGTCTAGTGTGCAAGGGTAGACAGGGGGGGCGAACTTAAAGACAAAAAAATGTGGGATTGCCCTTGTTCTTCAAGTTGCCGTGCCTGGGCTGTGGGTTGGAAATGTTCTGGATGCAACCCACGGTCTGTTGGGATGCCTCTCGTGGTCTGGGTGTAAAAACTGGCATGGGGTGAGTTTGGAAAAAGGGTTTCTAAAATTATTGATTGTTCAACTCATGGGATCATAGGACCTCGACGTCTACGATGGTTTCAGGGGCAGCCAAGAGGATACGAAGACGATCCAAGAGAGTGCCAAGACAGCGATAGAAAGTTCAACAGCATTCCCGAAATATCTTTGCATGTGACCCCGACGACTTGATGGGGCTCAAGGAAGAGGATATAGAGTAGGAGTCCCAACTGGGGAATATGATTATCTGGAGTTCCATGTTTGTTTTAAATTCCGTCCCAACATGAAAACAAAGGACTATCTGGAATTCCATGTTTTTCGAGTTTCTCGGTCGTTGGAGTCTCTTGGAGGCTTTCTGGGAGCCTGGAGAACCTGCCGAAGGCTATCTTGGGTTGCTTGGTAGCGTCTTGGGCCGTTATTGTACTTTCTCGGAACTTCTTGGGGTCGTCTTGGGCTGTCCTTGGGCGGTTGGGGGGTCCCCCGGAGCCGGAACGCGCGTTACCTGAGTAGACTGCAAGGAATTCTCAAGCGAAAGCTGAAATTCTCAATAACTTGTGAAGAAATATCGGGAGGGAGCCGTTGTTGTTGTAACTCGGGGGCCAGGGCCCTGGTTTGACCCTCAAGAACTTCCCTGATAAAGAACAGGGTGCGAGTCCTGCGGGGGGGGGCATGTCGATTGGAAAAATACAATGTTTACCGGGGGGGTTACAATAATGATGTTTTCAGAAAACGGAACTCAAAAACACCACCAACAACAACAAACACAACAACAAAACGACAACAACAGCAACACAAACAACAACAACAACAACAACAACAACAACAACAACAACAACAACAACAACAACAGCAGCAGCAGCAGCAGCAGCAGCAGCAACAACAACAACAACAACAACATCATCAACAACAGCAGCAACAACCATAAAAACAATACTAATATTAAGACGGTTCGCTCTTATCTGCTCGACTGTCATTCAACGTGTATTTCCCAAACCCTTATACCCGCCGTCTTCGTCTTCGATCGTGCCCCGTTTGGGGGGTATGGCATTATTCCCCGCAGGCCGGGCCCCGGCAAGCGGCGGGGCGGCCGCGGACCGTCGGCCCGGCCAGCGGCAGCGCTGATCGGCGGCAACCCGACCCCAAGAGGGACGGACAGGGGACCGACCACGACGACGACGACGACGACGAGCGGGGGAGGAGGCGGGGCCACGAAGGGCAGCGGGGGGGGGGCCACGAAGGGCGACAGCGGGGCCACGAAGGGCATGCATATGGGGCCACGACGGGCGCGAACGACCGGGAGCCACGAAAGGCACACATATCATAGGGGGCCAGCATGGGCGACCGCGGGGCCACGAAGGGCAGTGGTGGGGCCACGAAGGGCAGCGAGGGGGGCACGAAGGGCGACAGCGGGCCACGGAAGGGCATGCATATGGGGCCACGAAGGGCGCGAGCGAGCGGGGGCCACGAAGGGCGTACAATGCGGAGCCACACAGGGCAGCGACGTGGCCACCGAGGGCAGCAACCAGGCCACGACGGGCGCGCGACGAGGAGTGGCATCTGAATAAATTGTGAATAAGTCTCAGGCGAGAGCGCGATTTCATTCTCGGCGGTGGACAAACCTCCCTTTAGCAAACCTCCCTTCAATGAAACCGGCGTCGGACCGAAACCGACGGACCTGGACCCGCAAAAATGACGGCCACGACGCCCCCTCGCGAACCGAAAAAGGCCACTTCCTTGATCGACGTGTCAGAGTAGGATGTCTATCAACCTCCGAGTTTCTGAATAGATTACAAAGAAGTTTCAAGCGAGAGCCGGATTTCTCAGTGAACTGTGAGGAAATATCTTACGGGAACCGCTGTTGTTGTAACTCCGGAGCCCGACAGGGTGCGAGTTCTGGGAGGAGCACTTCAATAGGAAAAATACAATGGTTACCCCAGGGTGTATTAACAATCAATTTTCTTCAGATATGAACGTTCACCAACAACAACAATCACACTTACGACAACAACAACGACAACAACAATAACAAACACAACAACACAGACAACAACAATACGACCAACACCAGCAACCACAACAACAACCACAACAACAACAGCATTAACAACATCAACGACAACAACAACAACAACAACAACAACAACAACAACAACCACAACCACAACAACAACTGCAGCAACACTAACAACACTAACAAACGATTAACACCAACAAAACATATTCATGACCAATCACAACAACAACCACAACATCACCAACAACAACAGCAGCAACAACAACAGCACCAACGACGACGACGCCAACGACAACGACAACACCACCACCAACAACAACCACGAGAACAACAACATCAAGTACAACAACAGCAACCATTTTAAGACTGTTCTCTCATATCTGCTCGCGTGTCATGCAATATGCATATCCAAAACACTGGGTACCCGCCGTCTTCGTCCTCGATGGTACCCCCTTTTGGGGGGTATATTCATTCCCTGCCACGTGTGGTTGGTGGAGCCCTTGAAAACGAAACGAAGGGCATTCTTCTATGGGGCCACAAAGGGCGACAGCGGGGCCACTGAGGGCAGCAAAGGGGCCACGAAGGGCAGCGAGAGGGCCACGAAAGGCGACAGCGGGGCTACGAAGGGCATGCGTATGGGGCCACGACGGGCGACTGCGAGCGGGGGCCACGAAGGGCATACAATGCGGGGCCACAATAGGCAGCGTCGGGGCCACTGAGGGCAGCAACAGGGCCACGAAGGGCAGCGAGCGAAGGCGACCGCGGAACCAGTACGGGCAGCGAGGGGCATCGAAGGCAGCGAAGGGCAGCGAGCGGCGACTGCAGTCCATAACGGGCTGGTCGGGCGGGCAGGCCCAGACGGGCGGGTCGAGCGGGCGGGTCGTTGAAGCGTAAATTCTGCGTGAACCGCCAGGCAATATGTAGCGGGAGCGCCACTGCTGAGTGTCGAGGAGCGGCATCTGAATACATTGTCAGGAAGTATCAAGCGGGAGCCGCGATTCGGTGCTAAGTTGCGAGGAAGTCCCAAGCGAGAGCGCGATTCTTCAATACATTGTGAGGAAGTGTAAAGCGGGAGCCGCAATCCCGTGGAAAATTGCAAGGAAGTCCCAAGCGAGAGCGCGATTCTTCAATACATTGTAACAAAGTATCAGGCGGGAGCCGTTGTTGTTGTAAACCAAGGGCCAACGACACAGCTTGACCCTCAAGACTTTCCCTGATAAAAAAAGGGGTGCGAGCCCCGGGAAGGGCACTTCAATTGAAAAAAACAATGTGCACTGGACGGGGGGGATCAACAATACTTGTTCTTCAGAAATGAGCATTCAACAACAACGACAACAACAACAACACAACCGTTCGGCCCCCTGTGATGTCCGGATCTGGGGGAATATCGGAATATCCAAATTTCCTCAGGGAAACACTGGGACGGTACTCAATCACCTATGGCCGTACGGGATGGTGCGACGACTTCGAAGCTCCCTCTGACCTGCCATATGGTCTGGGCGGGGGGGACCTCAGCTTCAACCGGTGGTGTCCTTTGGCGGCGAGCCCAAGGGGAAGTGAGAAGGGGCGGGCGTCCTCAGAAGGCTCGGAAGGCCTCGCGCCTTCTGAGAAGTCCGGCGGCCCCCTTGTGGGGCCACCAGGCTGTAGGCCGAAGCTTCGCAGTTTCCTGTACCAGTTGCAGCTTCTAATGTCCACTGCTACAGTTCTGCTTCTTGCTGCTCACTGTTCCTTGTTGATGGACCGCGCGAGGGGGGCGAGGCCCAAACGGGCAGGTTTAGCACGCCCTGAGCGTGTGCTCTGAATTGCTGGGTTGGGTAAAAACTGACACCCTCACGCAGATCGGCGGGTCAGGGTCCAAAAACACAAGGGATTTGCCACATTTCTGAAATCCGGTGTCACCCCTCACGCAGATCAGCGGGGTCAGGGTCCAAACACACAAGGGATTTGCCACATTTCTGAAATTTGGCGGCACCCTTCATGCAGATCCGTAGGGTCAGGGTCCACAAACATACGGGATTTGCCACATTTCTGAAATTCGGTGGCACCCCTCACGCAGATCCGCAGGGTCAGGGTCGAAAAACAAACAGGTCCCGACACTGCTTCACGGCGGCGCCCAGACCTCATGATTTAGCTTTTGCATCTCCCATTATCCGAGACAGGGGGCCGGCGGCATGGGGCGAAGCCCTTACGGATATTTTTTGTTTTCCCCGAAGACACACAAAAAACTTCTTAGTAGGCCGGAGGGTCTCTGTGAAGACCCGCCGCCTTCTGAGCAGGCCTTCTTCTTCCCACTTCCCCCCCAGCCGAGTCCTTGTGGTTGCTGAGCTCGCCCATCTCGTCTGCCTTCGCCTGCTCAGGGGCCAACCATCGGCTCACCACATCCCAGCTGCCGCGGACGAGGCCTTTAGCCTCTAACTCGTCTTGGTTCCTGGACACGAGGTTGAAGAGCTGGATTCCTACAACTGCTGCAGCGTAGCCGACGATCTGCTGCAGGGCCACTGCCTGGTGCAGGACCACAACGGAGCCGACGACGAGGGCGACATCCTTCATGATGCCGCACAGTACGAAAACCACTGGGCTGGTGGCATCGATCAAAAGCACCACAAACACGTTCAGGGTGAAGGCGACCAGCCCGTTCAACAGCAGCCAGCAGAAGCCGACCTCCCGCTGGAGGTCCTCCGCGAAGGCGCCCCAGTCGGACGGCATCTCGGTCACGAGGGCCAGGGGCACCAGAAAGACGAGGCACAGTGGCGCATAATAGGAGATGGCGGTCAAGGGATCCATCTTCAGGCCGCTCTTGTTCAGGAGCTGCCCAATAAGGACTATCCGCGCGCACTCCGAGACCGACGAGAGGCTCTGGCATAAGAACCCCACCATGCGGAAATGGAGCTCGCCCGTCACGGCCAGCACCACTCCGCAGCACACCAGGATGACGATACGCAGCTTGTTCCAGGTGAAGAGCTCGGCCCCCACCAGGGCGTTGAGCAGGTACGTCATAACGGCGTGCGACGCCTTCATCATCTGAATAAAAGCAACGGAAGAATAAAGGTACGCGCGGTTGCCCATGGCAAGCGAGGTGGAGAAGAGAGCCGCGATGGGCAACAGCTTCGTCAACCATGTTTGCAGCGAAACCTCGAGCCGCTCCTCGCTGAAGAGGCCAAGCCTCGGGGGCGCCACGCACCGCAGGGCCCGCACGAGCACCGAGCTGACCGCCATGTGCCAGGCAGTCAGAAATGCTGGGCACCCCATCGTCTTCACAATGCCGCGGTTCATGAAGATCAGAGATATGCTGACGGCCATCCACACCAAGATGTACGGCCCGGCCCGCCACAGCGACTTCTCGGCCGGCGGGGGGGCCGCGGGGGCCATCGCGCCGCCGCCCCGCGCCGATCCCGGCACGTACCGGGGGGCCTGCGGGGAAGCGGGACCGGCGTCGCGTTGATCGCCGGAGCGTCCAGGGGGGAAACGAGAGAGGGCAGGCCTTCGCGGCTGCACGCATCGGAAGCTGCTAGAAGTGCCCCTGGCCCAAGGTGCTCCCAGCTTAAGTTTCGTTCCGTTTTGGCGCCCCCGGGGCCCTCTGGGCCTCGTGAGGGGTGCTCTGGAGGCCGTCTGAGCCACGCCGAGAATCCTGATGGCACATTGGACCAGGGGCACTTCTAGCAACACCCGGACTCAAGAGTGACCCAAGGCAAGAATGACCTCCAGTACGCGGCTTCAGGGGGTCGCAGGCAGGCCAGATCCGAGCGCGCGGGCCAATGCTGGGGGGACCCCTTTGAGCCCGCACCAAAGGTCACTCCCGCGAAGGGTCACTCTGGGGAAAGGACACTCTTACGTGTACAGTAGGAGCACGACTACAAAAACCTCCCATGGCCATTGATTTCTGCTGGCGGGAACGTCACGCTTCCCACAGGAAAGCCATCGAAACCCAAGAAACTCAGGGGACCCTGGAGGCAAGCAGGCTGTCTCTTGGCATGGGTCTCCACTGTACGTGTAGCCGACCTTGTCAAAGGCGGAGGGGCTTCTCAGATGCCCTCCAGCCTTCTTCGAAGCCTTCTGCGGCTTCGGAGAAGGCTCACGAAAGCCTCGTCGGAGCCAGACCAGAAGAACATCCCTCAAGAACACGAGACCCTCCGTCGGCCAAAACACACAATATGTCCAGGGGTATCCTCCCCAGGGCGCACAAAACCATCCAACAAACACGAAGAACACTATCGGGCGTTGGCAGGACTGGGTTCAATGACACCTGGTTTAGCGATGTGTACTGGAGAACGCCTTCCCAACCCATTCCACTAACTGGAACTGCCGTCAACCGAACAAACACCAGCTACGGCAGACCTGGTTTAGTGATTCCAATCCATATGTTGGGCTTCGGGGCCCAATCACTAACCGGCTCCCCTTAACCGGGTTCCTGGCTATGCCCGACGCTAGGGCACCCTCCCCGAACCGACCTCGCTCTTATACCTCGGTCCGACGATACTCGACCTTGTCAGAAGGCGGAGGGGCTTCTCAGAAGCCCTCTGGCCTTCTGCGAAGCCCTCCGCAGCTTCGGGGAAGGCTTACAGTCGGGCCCGTCCCTAGGCCAGAAGAACATCCCCAAAAAACACGAGACCCTCCGCCGGGCACGACACACAAAGCGCCCGAGGGCACCCTCCCAGGCTGCACAAGAACCTCCCACTGACACCAAGAACACTGGGGGTACCCTCCCCCAAACCGACCCCGATCATATACCTCGGTCCGACTGTGCGAAAGCTTATGGGAGGGCCGCAGGCCTTCTGAGCCGAAGGCCCGCGCCCCCTTCGCCTTCCCCCCTGGGGGCGCGCCTCCGAGCGGAGGTACAGAGGCCTCCTGGATGGAGTCCGAGAAGATGGGGTCGGAGGATCGCGCCGCATCAGCGATGCACCGGCGATACATCGTCAATGCACCGGCAATGCATCGTCGACGTCGGCGAGGCATCGGCGACGTCGGCTTGGAGGGAAGCGGGCTCCACATCGAGCCGCACCGCCGATGCATCGGCGAGGCAGTGCGATCCTCCGACCCCATCTACAGTGGAGGCCAGTCCACAAGAAACCTTCCACAAGACACCCAACCCTGAGATCCCAGGACGTCCATTGAGTTTGGGTGTTGGAACGTCACGCTTCCGTAGCAAAACACTCGAAACCCAGATAACCCAGGGCACCCTGGAGGCAAGCAGGGTGTTTCTTGGCATGGGCCTTCACTGTACTCCGACCCCATCTGGGAGGCCTGGAAGGTATCAGCCAAGAAAACGACAAAGACCCACCATCTGCGGGAGTCCACGCGGCTGCAGACAGAGACCCGACCGGCCGACGGCGAAGCACCGCCCAAAAAAAAGCATCCGCCGGCACGCCGCGCAGCGGTTGGGGCGTCTCGGGCCGCGCTTGCGTTCCTCGCCCATGCCTTGCGCCAGGCGGGGCAAGTGAACGTGTTCTTATTCGGCGTTTCGGCATTTGGCGGAATGGGCGGGGGGGGGGGGTCTGGCTCCGGAACTCTGCTTAGCGCGACGACTGTGTGCAACAGTGCGTCAGATGTGGGAGACTCCCCCTGCTCGAAATCTACTCCATGGGAGGGGGGGAGGAGAGGGGGTTGGAAGGCCCGCGCCGATCGGCAAAACAATGGATAAAAAAAAGATCACCAACCATCAGGGCGCGCCTCGACGCATCTGGCAGAACATGCGACCACGTGTTGCTCCAACTTCCTGCGTGCCTTCCTGGCCCCACCAAAGGAGAACGTAACATTGACCCTAGAATATCCACCTGGAGACATGGGGCGAGGCCGCTGGCTTGACCGTCGACTGGAGAGCTCTTCGTGCCATGGGGAAGGAGGAAACCCTGATCATTGGAGACTGGAATTTTCCAGCCGCGACCGACGAGAACGGTCACTACCGATTTTGCGTCAAATTTCGGTATCAGTCGCGACCGATTTGCTTCAAAATCGGTCGCGACCGGTCGGTCGCAACCAATCGGTCGCGATGGGTGGCGACCGGTCGCGACCTATTCTGGGATCGGTCGCAATCGGTCGCGACCCGACTTTGAGCACCGATCGGTCGCTACCGATCGCGACCGAAAAATATCTGTATCCAAAGACTTGTCGGGGAGACGTAACACACGGGTGCGGGGGACTCGGGTTGGCCTGACGGGGCCATCATGAAAAGCACGAGAACCAATCTGAAACCTGACGCGAACTCCCGCTGCAGACGTCCCACTGAAAGCGGACCGCCAAGATCCAGGACGCGCTCGTCAGAAAAAGTCGGCTGACCCGAATCCCGGCTTACTCGAGTCTTACGCTTCCCCGAACCCGGGTTCGGGGATCGTCTGACCCGGGTCAATCCAGACCTAAATCAGCCAGGCCTTGCAAAATCCTGCAAGATCCTGCGCCCAAACCCGAGTCACTGCCAAGGATCCTGCAAGATCCTGCAGGATCCTGCACCCAAACCCGGGTCAGTGCGACCCTGGCCCTGCAGGATCCTGCAAGATCTGGCGCTCGACTCTTACGCAGGGGCCCTGGGACACACAAATATATAGACTCACATAACAGGACTCCCAATATTTTCCCATTTTTGTCTGGGGTGTTGTCCTCCCCCCCGCTTCCCGTTTTTTCCCGTATCTTCCTGGGGATCGACGATGAATTATGTCTCTGTGTGTTTTTCCCCTTCCTGATCCTACGCTTCCCCGAACCCGGGTGAGCTCGGGTCGGGCGAAAGGGAGGGATAGCAAAGGGGGGGTTTGAGAATCAGCTCACGTAGCTGATCTTCCTGGCGCCTCCCGGCGCCGGGAGGCGCCCATGCATCGAGGAATGGGCCCCTCGGTGAGGCCGAAACCAGCTGCATGCAGCAAATATCGTAACCCCCCCTTTCCCAACCCCCCCCTTTCGCCCGGCCCGACCCCCGTCGGCAGGCCCCCCGTCGGCACGCGCTCACGCGCCGCCGGGGGAGGCGCGGCGCGGGAGCCCGCCCGCGCGCCGGGGGAGGGGGCCGTGCCCCGAGGCGCGCGGGCCCGGAGGGCCGAGACGCGCCGCGGGCCGCCGCGGCTGCAGGCGGGGCCCGCAGGCCTCGTCACAAACGACTTGAATAGAGGAAAAAGAACTATGCACATACACCGATTCTGGCCAGGCCCATCCTGAGCCCAGGATCGGTGCATACGCCCTCCTACCTTGGCCAGGAAGGCATATGCACCGATCCTGGGTCAAGGATGGGCCTTGCCAGGACCGGTGCATGTGCATAGTTCTCTTCGCCCGATTGAAGCGCAGTTCAAAGTCGGAGCGTTCTTACATCAGGGGGACGTAAGACCTGGGCACGGGGGACTCGGAAATCCCCGACGAGGTCGTCGAAAAAATGACGAGGCAGAGCCTGCATTTTGACGAGGCCTCCCGCTGCAGACATCCCACGAAACTCCTCCTCGTCAAAATCCGAGGCTCGGTCGTCAAAAAACGATGGCGAACCCGAGTCCTGGCAAACCCGGGTCTTACGCTCCCCCGATTACAGTGGGGGCGCGCCTCAAGAGACCATATGCTTTACGTCAGGGTGCCCTGGGTGTCGTCGCTCCGCGCGAGGCGCGGTGGCTTCCCGCGGCCGCTGGAGGAGCTGCTGCGTTCGGGGTGCTCCGGGTTTCCCCTCAGTTGCACCTCGCGCGCGGATTTGCAGGGTTGGGTTTCTTGCGAGGGTTTCTAGCGGCCGCGCCCGCCCTGTAAATGCTGTGAGGGTACTGCCGGATAACGGACCCCCTTCGCTCTGGGCCGGACACCTCATGCCAACAAGAGGGCAGCGCCGACCATGCAGGCGCCGAAAACAAAGACCGGGAACTTATGGTTGCCGAGTCCTGTAGGCCAGAATCACATCCTCCAAGATCATGAGACCCTCCATCGGCCATCACGCACAGAGCATTCAAGAGTATCCTCTCCAGGGTGCACAAAAACATCCAACAGACACGAAGAACACTGGGGTACCCTCCCCGAACAGACCTCGATCTTGTACCTCGGTCTGACTGTACGTCAGAAGGCAGACACTGGCGACACTAGGTTAGAAGGCAACTGCTGGGAGGCTTTCGTCGAAGAGAAGAATGCGCCACTTTCTTTCTAAATATATACATATGTATATATATACATATATATATATGTGCATATAGACTTGCATTCATATATCTATATATATATATATATATATGAATGTATATATATATACATATATTCACACACATATAGATGTACAGACACTCTCCGACGCACTTTGCACGCAACCCTAGGGAGAAGGCGTCGGTGCATGAAGTCGCTGGCTCTCAGTGTTGATGTATACACCACCACCCTCCCCTGAGGCCCAGGAACAATCCAGTAAAGGGAGTCTGTGTACATCTTGGTGGCGGAATTAACGATAATTAAGCTCCATTGGGGGGCTGCTACGCCGGATTAGGCCGCGGACATCCAAGAACACGAGCGTACGACAAGCAGGGTGCACAAGAGCATCCAACCGGCACGAAGAACACGAGGGACCCTCCCCAAACGGACCTCGATGTTACGCCTCGTCCCGGCTGTGAGAGACGGGAGGGAGGGAGGGAGGGAGATGAGAGGAAGGAGGGACGAGAAGGGTTAGGTCGGCATGCCCCCCTACAGGCCGACTTTGAAAGAAAAATGGAAAATCTAGAAAACGCTCTCCAAAAATATTCACAACTGGTAGAAAATCGTTCCCAGGCCAGTTCTTAATTAGTTTTGAATATTCCTCCTGTATGTAGAGGGACATGCCCGACATAAAAGAAGGGTAGGGTAAACAAAAACGCGTGAGGAGCGAGGGGCAAGGGAGGAGGGAGCAGGGAGGACGTTTGACAGGGCACACCGCGCATCTTCAAGAGACCTCCGAGGACGTCCGGCGTTCTCGGGTCGGGCGAAAGGGGGGGATAGCAGAGGGGGGGGGAGAATCAGCTCACGTAGCTGATTTTCCTGGCGCCTCCCGTCGCCAGGAGGAGCCCATGTATCGAGGAACGGGCCCGGCGGCGAGGCCGAAAACCAGCTGCATGCAGCAGATTCGTAACCCCCCCTTTCACTATCCCCCTTTCGTTCGGCCCGACGTTCTCCGAAGCTCCTCGGGAATCACCAGACACCTCCGCGAAATCCCCGCACGCCTGGTGAGGCCCTCCTGTCCTGCCCGCCCCCCTGCTCCCCCGACAGACGGCAGAAGGCAGACTGCAGACGACAGACGGACGACGACGACGCCGCCGACGCCGCCGACGCCGCCGACGACGACAACGACAGGCGACGACGGACGACGACCGACGACACACGACGACGGACGACGACGGACGACGACGCCACCGACGAAGACGACGCCACCGACGACGGCTGCTGGCGGCCAGTTGCCAACAGCGGCGGCGACGACCGACTACCTGCCAGACCACTCCAACCCACCCCGAAAACCCAAATGTCGGGTTGGGGGGATACACGTCGGTCGGAAGAAGTAGTTGAAGCATGAAGGGGGAAGGCGGATTAACTAGATTAGGTTCGGGCCCACCCAGAGAATAACCAGACGCAAGCATATCGATTCTTGAAGAAATAGTAAAGCGCTTGAAACAGATGGGGATCTGGAAATCAAAAAATACATACTTTCAACGACCGGCGTGCACGGGTTCCAGATGTGTTTTTGTTCACAGCTTCCTGACGCCCCCTCCCCGCCCTCGCTGGGAGAGGAGGGCAAAATGGGGCCTTCGGGTTGGGTTGGGGTGGTTTGTAGGAGAGCTTGAAGTCGAATCGACAAGTCGGATCGACGATCGAAATGAACCGGATCGGCAGACATGGGCAGCTGAGTCGGATAACATCGAATCGGCGGAAATCGGCAGGCTAGTATGCCTCCAGTGCGAAATCGGAGCACAAATCGGAATCCCAAGTCAAATCGAATCGGAATCGGAAGCCATCGAAATCGAATCGAATCGGGTGAATCGAAATGAGCCTGGGTTTGGTTGGGGTGGCTTAGAGGGTGGTGAACGACGTCGACCGAGGCGCAGCCGCCGCGGCCAAGGCGGGGCGAGCGGGGCGCGCTTGATGCCGGCGTGCCCGGCCGCGAACGCCTGCTGGGCGAGCTGCACGGCGTGCATTAGGGCCTCGCGGGCGAGGAGGGCGCGGGAGGGTACACGCTGAGTACGGCCGAGGGTCAGAGAGCGCCTTCCTCTGCAGGACCACACCAAAAAAGGGACGTGAAGGTGGCCAAACGCCTCGCCGGTTAAGCCGATGAAGATGTGCAAAGTCCAACCGTTCACTTTTGTCCAAAATTTAGACCCGGGTCAATCAGGCCTTGCAAGATCCTGCAAGATCCTGCAGGATCCTGCACCTCAACCCGGGTGAGCCTGCAATGGAGGCCAGTCCAAAGAGACCTTCCGCAAGAAGCCGGACCCTGAGACTCCAGGACGTCCCCTGACTTTTGGTGCGGGGACGTCACGCTCTCCATCGCAAGACCATCGACGCCCAAGAAGCCCAGGGCACCCTGGAGGCAAGCAGGGCGTTTCTTGGCATGGGTCCGCACTGCATCCCCCTCTGACGTTGCCCCCGACATCTGTGAGACACCGCCGTGCCCGGCCGGGGCCGTCCTGGGCCCGGCCGTGGGTGGCCCTGGCCAGGCACGGTCAGCAGGCATCTCATGGGAGGGCGTCGTAAGAATGAAAAGGGGTTGCTACAGTCAACCCGTATACACCCTGCGAAATGCTTAAGAAATCATGGGTTAAGAAATTCTTAGTCTCAGAACTGGAATAAAAACCCAACATTTCTATTCAAATCTTAGGATTTACATTGAAACGTTAAGAATAATCGAGACTCTGGCCAAAAACTTACGTTTTCTTAAACATCGCCTAAGGTATAAGGACGATGCCCGGTGAGGATGCAAGGGCCCCGGAGGGCCACGTGGGCGTTTTTCGAACGAGGTTGGCCAGCGAGATTCGCTAAGGATGGGCCGCAGGGGCAAGAATGCAAGGGTACTACCTTCTGGGACTTTGCCCATCCTCACTATGCGGGTTAATTGTAGGCCAGATCTGGGGACTACGCCGAATGAGGCCTGGGATGAAGCGGGATAAGACAGATCAGTCGGAGTTGAGCGGGATTATGCCAGATGAGGCTGGTCATCGACCACAGATCTCTCAGCGCCGATGCTGGCTAGATCTCCCAGAAGATGCATCCAGCATGGTAGTGGTGTACAGATGCATTCTGCTGTAGGGAGCAGGGATCGAAGACCGGGGATTCCAGGCCGTTTGGAGCTGGGAAACAACTCTCTAGGGCTCCTCGTGGCAACAGATGAAGACCACGGAACCCGATGGAGGGGCTGTCGAGCCAGACTGAGCCAAGAATTGTGCCGATACGTAAGCATGAGTCGGATTCAAAAGAAAACTCGGGGATGGACAGAACCCCCTTTAGTAAAACGTGGTTTAGTGAAAACGACCTGAGGCCCAAACCTGGCGGGCGCAAGCGTGGAAAATAACGGCCGCGGCGCCCTCTCGAGAGCCGAGAACGGACAATTCACTAATTGACGTGTCACTATTGGGGGTTCTGTCCAGCCCCGAAAAACAAGTGCCAAAAACTGGCACCCGGGTGCGGCGGGTTCGCGCCGCGATGGTGTCCGCGAGTGGCTCCGGACACCGCGTGGGTCGTTCAACCCTGAACGATCGCGGCGTTCCGATAGCGCAGATCGTTCGATATCGGCTCGGGGATAACAGGGGATGCGTCGACCCCTATCCCAGGCTCCGTGAGGTTTTCGAGAGGATCAACAATTTGGGGCCCAACCCTGGGATATACGAGGGGGGGGCGTCCATCCTCGACAGGGGTGCGTCCGAATAGCCCCCTCGGGATGTATCCCAAGATTCCTCCCCTTTTCTGAGCGACCAAACTTTTCTGGCGGAAGTCGGGGATTGGGGGAGAGAAATCGCCTGCGAGGGGATCTTCTGACCCCGGTCAATCCAGACCCGGGTCAGTCGGGCCTTGCAGAATCCCGCAAGATCCCGCAGGATCCTGCTCCCAAACCCGGGTCAGTGCGAAAGATCCTGCAGGAGTCTGGAAGATCCTGCACCCAAACCCGGGTCAGTGCGACCCTGGCCCTGCAGGATCCTGCAAGATCCGGCGCTCTGGCTGAACCCCCGTTTGCATCGACGCCCGTCTCAAGGCTGCCCATCGGCGGATTCCAGCTACCGGCGTTCAGCTTTGAACGCCCGCGCCACCGCCGCCGCCGCGTCAACACGGCGCGGACCTGCCGCAGGAGGGCGGTCGAGGCAACTCTGGCCTCGGCCCATCCGGGTAGCAGGTGGTCAACGCAGGCTGCCCCCGCGGTAGCATGCATGAAGCACGAAGGCGCTCAACGCAGATTTGAATCTGGGAACCCCGGGGCACCGAGGTGCTTTCAGCGAGCAGCCGCCGCGTCGATGCGGCACGAACCCGTCGCAGGGGCCAGCGGCTCGAAAGAAGATATGGTCGTCGGGTATGGGCCCCGCGAGGCGGCCGCTCGTACCTGTCCGCGCCCTCGTCCAGTGCCTCCTCCTCCATCGCCACCATCAAACACATCAATCATATACTCACTATCATCATCAACAACAACATCATCATCACCATCATCACCATCATCATCATCATCATCATCATCATCATCAGCGCCAGCATCATCATCAGCAGCATCAGCATCATCATCAGCATCAGCGTCAGCATCATCATCAGCAGCATCAGCATCATCAAGGTCTCAGCATCATCAGCATCATAATCATCACGGTCATCATCATCATCGTCATCAGCACCAGCATCGCCATCATCAGCATCATCATCAGCATCATCATCAATATCGTCATCATCATAATCAACAACACCACCACCACAATCACCACCATCATCATCATCAGCATCAGCATCATCATCCTAAACCCCATCATCATCAGCAGCAGCATCAGAAGTATCAACATCAGCATCAGCATCATCATCGTCATCATCATCATCACCACCATCAGCATCGCCATCAGCATCAGCATCAGCATCAGCATCAGCATCAGCATCAGCATCAGCATCAGCATCATCATCATCATCATCATCATCATCATCATCATCATCATCATCATCGCCATCATCCTCATCATCATCAGCATCATCACAAGCGTCATCGCCATCGTCATCACCATCACCCTTCACAGCATACGCATCATCGGCATCATTAGCACCATCGCCGTATTATTATTGGTCGTCGTCGTCCCCATCGCCATCTCCATCACCGAAGTATCAGGCGCGACCGATCTGAACGAAGGTGGCGGCATGAGCCGCTTAGCGCTCAGAATCACACGGGTCCTCCGAGCGACGTGCACGAGGGAAGATAACCCCAACTCGCGCGGGCGCATGCAGTACCAGCACGCGGAGCAGGGAGGGAAGGCACCGCCCTCCCAGGCGCAAATGGCTGTCGAGCGTCGCTCTAGAAACCGAAGCCGTTGGGTGACTATGTATACAGATAAAATTGCATATACATACAATTCGAGAGATGGAGAGAGAGAGAGAGAGATTCAGTCGGACATAGGCCAGAAGAACATCATTCAAGAATAGGAGACCCTCCGTAGGCCAGAACAAATAGAACATCTGAGGGTACCCTCCCCAGGATGCACAAGAACATCCAACGAATACGAAGAACACTAGGGTACCCTCCCCGAACCGACCTGGATCTGATACCTCGGTCCGACTGCATTTCTGTGTGTACGCATGCGCGCTTATATCACATGCGAACGATCAACAATACACGTCCTGACAGGGAAAGGCCTTTGTTGGCCGTCACCCCAGAAAAGGTCGTTGTGGGAGGCGGACAGGGGGGTCTGAACTGGATGGGGCTTCAGGAAATCGACCACGAGGGGGGACGGACGCAAATCCGCTCAAAATCGCTTCCCAGGCGCTCCACCCGGGTCCATCTGGCGAATATTCCAGCCACCCAGAGGCCCTGAGGCCCGAAGACGACTCCCAGAGGCCACGAGCCAAGCGCCTCGAAGCTCTCCCCCCCCCACTCTGCCTTCTGGCCAGAACCAGTGCATGGCCACCGCAGGTCCCCAGACGCCTCCAGCTCGGCGGTGGACCAACCTCCCTTTAAAAAACCACCCTTTTGTGAAAACTGGACCCGCAAAATCGAAAGCCGAAGACGCCCTCTCGCGAACCGAAAACGGCCAATCCGCTAATCGGCGTGTCAGGGTAGGAGGTCGATCGACCTCCGATCAATCTGGGCCTCCACCCCAGAGAGGTGGGCGAGCCTTGTCGTCTTTGTGGCCGAAGACGAGCTCGGTGCCCCGCCGGTTTCGTATCTGGGGCGCGCAGAGGCGCCGTGCGAGGGGGGACGAGCGAACGAACGACCACCTCTGCGGGCAACCATCCTGAAAGTGATGCTGCTCCATCCGCGAAATGATTTCGGGCACCCTTAAAAGTATCGAAACAGTGTCGAGGGAGTATTGCTTCCCAGGGCCCGACGCGTGAAACCCCTCAAGTTTTGGCACTTCCTTGGTGCTCGCAACTCTTGCTGGTGATCAAGGCTGAAGCAGATGGGAACATCATGACCTGAAGGACGAAGCCAGGATTTCGGCAAACAGATGATGACAAAAACCTACAGTCGGACTCGATTGGACAGGACACGCGGGAGGACACAAGACCCTTCCGAGGGCCACATTGCCACGGGAATGTAGGAAGCTTGGGTCGCGAGACACAGGACACAAGGGTACCCTTGACTTGGCAGGGTCGCCCTACTAATCTCTGGGCCGACTGTACGCGTCCGAAGGTCCGCGCGGATTTTTCTTGGATCGGGGCTGGAGGGCCCCCTGGCGGCGCGCCTCCGGCGCCGCCCCTGGCGCGTGCTCCACGGAGGGGGTCCGGCGCCGATCCAGGGAGTCCGCGCGGACCTCCGAACGTTAACGTACAGTAGGGGCCCGACCACAAGAAACCTTCCACAAGAAACCTCCTCCTCCCTCCTCCTCCCTCCTCCTCCCTCCTCCCTCCTCCCCCTCCCTCCTCCTCCTCCCTCCTCCTCCCCTCTCCTCCTTATCCTCCTCCTTCTCCCCTCCTTCTCTTCCTCCTCCGCATCCTCGTCGTCGTCGTCGTCCGGTGTCGGCGGCACCGGCCGTTCAGTATGGGCTCGACCGCATGAAACCTTTCAAAAGAAGCCCAACCCTGAGACACCAGGACGTCCATCGATGTTTGGTGTGGGAACGTCACGCTTTCCATGGCAAAGCCATCGGAACCCAAGAAACCCAGGGCACCCCGGAGGCATGCGGGGTTGCTTCTTGGCATGGGCCCCCATTCGATGTCATTCTCTGCCCGAGGATCGGGACAAAATCGAACCGACCGAAATCAGGATCTCTGAGATCTGGCGGTTCTAGAGGATGCGTCGGGCGCCGCAGCCGTTCAAGAGCGCTCCTGGACGCTCTCTTGAGCGGAAAGCTCTGGAGCTATGTAAGCCGATCCTCGACAACAGCCACGGTGATCTGCCACTTGCGGACGACACAGAGGGCATCGGAACCACGAAGCACGGAGTTCAGCAGAGGCCCCGAGGGAGATGGAGGATGGAAGGAGGAACAAAAAGGAGGGAGGAACAGAGGGAGGAAAAGGAAGAGGAGGCCCCGAGGGAGGTGGAGGAAAAGGAGGAGCCTCGAGGGAGATGGAGGAGGAACAGGAGGAGGAGGAGGAGGAGGAGGAGGAGGAGAGGAGGGAGAGGAAGGGCGAAAACAGTGAGGAGCGGGACATGGAGGAGGGAAGGAGTCAGGAGGCGTCGGGTGGCGACTCCTAGGAGGTCTCTGAAAGCCTGCCGAGGGGCTGCCGAGCTGGATCTAAGCATGAAAGATGCTCACGAAATTGCACCATGAACCCTCAAAGAGACTCGCACACTGGAAGATCCGCACTCATACTACATCAACGGTCTTCGGACCCACGCCGAACACCCACAGTAGGGGCTGAACCACTTCTGCTGTCCCTCGACTAGTGCTGGAGCGTCCACAACGTGGTTCAGACTGGCTGGAAGTATCAAGAATTACTCTGGCATATATGGATTTACCTGATTCGATGTACTGGCTCGATCCTGCAAGTCGATTGGCGGGAGAGAAAGCGTCTCAATCCCTTAGAGATCCTACATCAACGCACCGCTCCGTTGACCGGGCCACACGACCGCGCGCACACACGCGCACGCACGAGGGCACGCGGTACACAGTCGGATCCATGCTAAAATAACATCCCTCGAGAACATGAGACCCTCCGTCGGCCAGACCAAATAGAACATCCAAGGGTACCCTCCCCCAAGGATGCACAAAAACATCCAACAAATACGCACGAAGAACACTAGGGAGACCTCCACGAACGGGCCTCGACCTTACACCTCGGTGCGACTGTACGAATCGAACGGTCCGGGGCAACTACGTAGACGGTGTGAAGAGGAAGACCAGGACGGCGACAACGGCGAGAACGAGCATCGGCGAGAGCAAGGGAGGCAGGAGACAGAGAAGCCCAGACAGGGGTGGAGCATCGAGCATCGAAGTCGGGAGAAGGCTGGATGCTACGCTCTGCGCCATGCGGTCTGCAAATGTGGCGGCATGGCCCGAACTTCGGAGAAGGGCGAGTGGAGGCAACGGCAGCTCAAAATCGGTCCCTAGACTGACTACCTACCAGACCACCCCAACCCAACCCGAAGACCCGAATTTCGGGTTGGGGGGGGTAAGGGTTCCACACGTGTTTTGTTCGATGTTTCCCGACCCCCCCCCCACTGGAAATCGAGGGTAAATCTGAGCCTTCGGGTTGGGTTGGGGTGGTTTGGTGGGTGGTGATAGACCTCCCCCAGGGTGCTAGTGCCATAATGCACGAGTTGTCCGAGTTGCGTCCAGCCGTGGCGGCAAGGGGCCCCTCGAAGGCCAGCTTACGTTCGCCATTCGCCCTCCCCTGACGAGCTGCGGCTCGCGCCAGTGGTGCAAGGAAAATCCGGCGCATGCAGCGCCGACCTGCGCCTGCTTGGCACGACCCGTTGGGGTCTGGCACTGGCCAGGGGTGGCCGGGACAAGTCCGGCACGCGGCCGCACCACCTCTCGGAATCAGAGGAGGAGGCGTGCCACGGGCCCTCACGCTTCCCGCCATGAGCCCGGTGTGCCTGTGGCAGGTTCGTGTCGCGACGGCCTGCGCGTTGGGCTCGTCTGACCCTTAGGCCTGGGCGTTACATTCGTTTTCGCACGGTCTCCAGGACCCGGGACCATCACAGATCGATCCGGCTCCAACAAAATACCGCAAAACGATGGGGTTTACGCCACATTGCGATGACGTCGGCGTTGTTTTCTGACACCGTGTGGATCGTGCAATCTCTCGGGGATATGAGGACAACGATAACAACGATAACGAAACAACGATACGGATAACGATAGTAGCAAAAACGATAACAACGATAACAACGACAACGAGAACAACAGAAACAACGATCACAACGATAACGATCACAACGATCAAAACGATACAACGACGCTGCTAATGATACTGACCTGGGTCAATACAAACCCGGGTCCGTCAGACCTTGCAGGGTCCTGCAGGGTCCTGCAGGATCCTGCGGGATCCTGCAGGGTCCTGCAGGATCCTGCGCGCGCAGGCCCCGGTCGGTGCACCCCTGGCCCTGCAGGATCCAGGAAGATCTGGCACCCTGGCTGACCTTCCTTTGCATCGACCCCCGCCCCTTGAGACCCCAGCCTCCGAACGATGGCGGATTGAGCTCAATTTTGTTTGAAACCGCAGAAAGCGCGTTATGTGGCTGAGTGGGTGGGTGGGTTCGCTGGCATATAACATAACACGCTGCGCGCGCACTACGAGAAGCATACCTGCGCGCTCAACAACAAGCGCTGCTGCTAGGTGGGGGGGGTAAAACGGAGGGCGGTATGTTGATCTACTGGGTGGGCGAATGGGTTGGAGGCAACATGATCGCGCGCTGTGTGCTCGAGCAAAAAACTGAAGCTTCCTTCCGGCAGCGCAGATCGCCCGACATCTCGCGAACCTGGGCCCCTGGCGGCACTCCGCCCTGAGCGCCCGCGCCTGGGCCCGCCGCCGCGCCAGCGCGGCGCGAACCTGCTGGCACTGGATGCCAAGGACCAGCAGCAGGCAGGCAGAAAAACGTCGGCGCCGAGCGCCGACAGCAAAAATCCAAATCTACAGCGGCTTAGACGGCCCGGCGATCTCCTCCCTGGGTGAGACCGTACGCGCCGAGCCCGACGACCGTCACAACCAGGAGAACTGCCATCGCCGAGAAGGCGTCCAGAGCCTTCTCTGGCTCACCCCTCAGCCAGGCGATGGAGCCCCCTTCAAGGGCGCCCGCAGCCAAGGCACCGACGACCAGAGCACCCATCTCGCGCCGCTTCTGCTGCAAGAAGTCCAGGTACTCATCCGCGGCCTCAGAGAAGGAGAACGGCGACTCCATGTTCCACTTCAGAGCCGCCGCACAGCCTCAGATGCTCATCAAGCCGCTCCCGAAAAACCCAACGCTGTTGGACGCGAGCACTGCGAGCGTCGCGTACGGGGAGAGCCCCCCGAGGGCAATGGTCAGGGGAAGAAGCAATGGCATAAACATAAAATCTCGGAGGTCCGCGCGGATTTCTCGAATCGGCGCTGGTAGGTAGGGAACAAACCTACCTCGCTTTTGACAACCCTCGCTTCCAAGAGATACCAAGCGATGCCAAACTACGGTCTGTACTGGTCAGGCCGCTTGACGAGGAGGCGCGTGGTATGACTTGGTTTTGCCTGGAAGCGAAAGCGGGGTCGGTAATTCACGCTCTGAGCTGGAGGCGCCGCCAGGGGGCCTCAGCGCTGATCCGAGAACTCTGAGCGGACCTCCGAGTTCTTATGTTTGCGTCACTGCTTGTTCCCATGATGGTGGTCGAGCCCGTGCTGAAGACCTCCGAGGCCTGCCACACGAAGAGCACGGCGAAGAGCGCGCCGAGGGCCTTCCGGATTGTCTCCTCCTGAACGGTTATCATGCGCCCGGCTGTGCGCAACGAGGGACCAGGGCGAGGGGGGCAGCTTCCTGAGGAAGCAGCGGGCTTCGTGCAAGGGACTGGCGCCTCTAAGGCAGAAGGCAAACAAAAATCTTAAGACGAAGCCAGGACGAGGATCAATCCGGGTGAGGATACATTGAGAATCTCTGAGATCCAGCGGCTGTGCAGGATGTCTCGGGCGCCGCGGCCTTCTAAGAGCGTCCCAGATCGCTCTGAGAGCATTCAGGAACGCTCTGGAACGGATTCATCTTCATCCTGGTCCAGTCCGACCCACATAAGAAGCACCCCGACAAGCGAGGCCGTTTAGTAAACCACCCAAGAAAGGAATCGAACAACGCAGGGCTGTTCAGTAAACGCCCAGGGCCGTTGACGGTTAGTAAACGCCAATTGTCAGGATCTGGGTAGCGTTTCCTCCCTTCATACAAAAGCCCAGGCAACCCCACGCGTTCAGAGTGGTGGAGAGGGCTCCGGTCGCAAATCGTGTGAGCCTTGCATACCCTCGCAATTCCGTCTTGAGTGCACTAGCGCTCGCTGGCGTCTGGGAATCGATATAAGATGGCGCCGCTTTAGCGCCGTCCAGAGCCGACTAGCGTCAATTTCGCGTCGACGAGCGTCGAATTGCAAGAGCCAGCAGGCTGGTACGGAAGGCTGCCAAAAGTTGCCACAGCAGGGGGGCCTCTCTTGGCGGCGCGCACAAGGGGGTAGGGGGAAGGGGGAAAACTTCTTCGAAGGAGGCTGCCTCTTAGAAGGCGCCGGCCCAAATTACGTCTCCAGGGAAGGCCCGTGCCTCCTAAGAAGCAGAGGTGCTTCTGAGAAGCCTTCCCCCCTCCCCCTAATTACCCCCCTCGGCGCGTGGCCGACCTTGAGCACCGTCCTCGCCGCCCTTGCCGCCGGCTGGCAGAGGCGGCTGGGCGGCTGGGCAGCTGAGGGTTGCAGGAGGGAGGCGGGAGGCGGGAGGATGGAGGAGGGAGGAGGAGGAGGAGGGAGGAGGGAGAAGGGAGAGGGAGGAAGGAGGAGGAGGAGGGAGGAGGAGGAGAGGAGAGGAGGGGAGGAAGTGGAAGGGGGAGGAGGAGGAGGAGAGGAGGGGAGGAGGAGGAGGAGGAGGAGGAGAGGAGGAGGAGGAGGAGGACGAGGAAGAGAAACGGGGAGGGGAGGAGGAGGAGGAGGAGGAGGAGGAGGAGGAGGAGGACGAGAAGGAGCTCCCGCGCGTGGCCGAGGTGCGGCAGGCTCCCACGAGTTGCCGCAGCAGGGGGGCCTCGCAAGAGGCCGCCCCCCTCGCCTCTGGCCCCTGGTGCGCGCCGCCGGGATGCGGTTCTCCGCCACGGCCTGGGCCGCCTGCTGGGAGCAAAAAGGAGCGCCGGGGCCGGTGCCACCCTCGCAGGGAGCAGTGGACCAGCCTGCTCCTCCTCCTCCTCCTCCTCCTCCTCCTCCTCCTCCTCCTCCCCCTCCTCTTATTAGTATTACGATTGTTATTGTTAGTATGATTATGTGTGGTACTATCTTTATTCTTCAAATGATCAGTCATCGTGTTCTTCTTATTCTTAGCATTACTACGATTAGTAGGATCAGCATCATTAGTATCCTTATTCGTCTGACTCTTACTATCATGATTCGCATTCGTAGAATTACGATTGATAGTAGTAGTAGCAGCAGCAGCGTAGTAGTAGTAGTAGTAGTAGTAGTAGTGGTAGTAGTAGTAGTAGTAGTGGTGGTGGTGGTGGTGGTAGTAGTCGTAGTAGTCGCAGTAGTAGTAGTAGTAGTAGTAGTAGTAGTAGTAGCAGTAGTAGTCGTAGTAGTAATAATAGTGGTGGTGGTAGCAGTAGTAGTGGCAGTAGTAGTAGTAATAGCAGTAGTAGTTGTTGTATCATGATTAGTCAGATCAGCATCAGTCCTGTCCTGATTCGTCTGACTCTTACTATTATGATTAGGATTAGTGTTATTACTATTGCTAGTAGAAGTAGTAGCAGCAGCAGCGTAGTAGTAGTTATTGCAGTAGTAGTAGCAGTAGCAGTAGCAGTAGCAGTAGCAGCAGCAGCAGCAGTAGTAGTAGTAGTAGTAGTAGTAGTAGTAGTAGTCGTACTACCAGCAGTAGTAGTAGTAGTAGTAGTAGTAGCAGTAGTAGTAGTAGTAGTAGTAGTAGTAGTAGTAGTAGTAGTAGTAGTAGTAGTAGTAGTAGTAGTAGTAGTAGTAGTAGTAGTAGTAGTAGTAGTAGTAGTAGTAGTAGTAGTAGTAGTAGTAGTCGTAGTAGTAGTAGTAGTAGTAGTAGTAGTAGTAGTAGTAGTAGTAGTAGTACATGTAGTAGTAGATGTAGTAGTAGATGTAGTAGTAGTAGTAGTAGTAGTAGTTGCTGTTGCTGTTGTTGCTGTATCATGCTTAGTATTCTTCCTCTTATGATTCGTATAATGAGTATTCGCTTGGTTACACTTGGAATTTCTCTTCCTCTTCCTCTTCCTCTTCCTCCTCCTCCTCCTCCTCCTGCTACGCCTCCTCCTCCTCTCCTCCTCCTCCTCCACGGCCTGGGCCGCCTGGCGGGAGCAAAATGAAGGCTGGGGCCGGCGCCACCCTCGCAGGGAGCAGTGGACCAGCCTCCTCCTCCTCTTCCTCCTCCTCCTCCTCCTCTTCCCCCCCTCCTCCTCTTCTTCCTCCTCCTACTCCTGCTGCTCTTCCTCCGCCTCCTCCGCCTCGATCTCATCCCCATCCCTAAGATTGGCAAGCCCAAGGGCGCCGAAGTTCTTAGGGACGCGTCCTCAGAAACTGAGGGTATCCTTACCATCGGCGTATGAGGCGATGCCAATCATAGGGATGGGGATATGACTCAAAGTGGTAAGCAGTGGAGGGCCCTTGAGGTGGCGTGTCGGTGTCTTTCCCTAGGCCCTCCACCTGCGGGGAGAGCAAGCGAACACAACCACATCGAAGACACACCCTGGGGAATGCCTTGAACGTGCCAAACATTTTCGGAACACCGAAACCAGCTTCGTACTGGTAGTGGTCGTTTTGGCGTCCCAGGACGGCCAGATCGACCACCACCACAACCAAAGTGCTCATGTCGAGGTCGGTGGGTTTTCCCCCGAAGGGGCCCCCCGAAAAATCCAGAATCGTGGTTGCGGTCGGTTTGGCGTCCCAGGACGGCCAGATCGACCACCACCAGATTCATGGATCGGGGGAGGTGCCCTCCTCAAAAGTGCGGCCGGTGCCACCTCGCTCGGCGACGGAAATCCGCGGCTTCCCATGGAGGAGGGACCCGTCGCTAATCCCCGTGCTTGCGATCGATGTGTGGTCGGACTGACGTCGCGCCTCGCGATGCGCGGCGCGCGCGATCGTCGTCGCGCCCTCGCGCCCTCGCGCCGCCGGCCCCCCCCCCGAAGAAAGAGGGCAGACGCTCTCGCCCAGGGCCGCGAGGCAAGCAGCGCGGCGCTCCTCGCGCACACCCCCTTTCGGGATTGAGACCTGGCTCCCCCCAATCGGGTGTTGCTAGAGGTGCCCCTGGCCCATGGCGGCCCCAGCTTTTCGCTCCAGTTTGGATCCCCTGGGGCCCTCCAGGCCTCGTGAGGGGCGCTCCGGAGGCCAAGTGGGCTCCTCCGAGAATTCCTGGGGGCGCCTTGGCCCAGGGGGCACTTCTCGGGGATGGACAGACCTCCCTTTAGTAAAACGTGGTTTAGTGAAAACGACCTGAGGCCCAAACCTGGCGGGCGCGAGCCTGGAAAATAACGGCCACGGCGCCCTCTCGAGAACCGAAAACGGACAATTCACTAATCGACGTGTCACTGTCGGGGGTTCTGTCCACCTCCGAACTTCTAACAGCACCCGACCCCACCCCACCACGATCCGGCGCTGTAGCAGCAAAATCCCACCAGGCCTCTGGGCGCAGGTGATTCAGAGCGGTGTCGCTTCTAACCCCCTTCCTTGCCCCAGACCCTTCCCCCACCCGCCTCCCCCAACCCGCTCCCCCCTGCACCCGGAGGGGGGGGCTCTGGGGGAGCGTGTAGTTGGGTCAGATGGGCTCGGGTCTGAACCAAAAAGTTGACAGAGACACGCACCAAGTTGGGGGGTAGAGAGTTGAACCCCCCCCAGGTGGGCTCTGACCGATCCCACTTCGGGGAGAGGCTCTGACCCCTCCCCCAAGCCCCTCCCCTGCACCCGGAGAGGGGGGGGTCCGCGAGGCGGCGGGGCGTCCAAGACGGCCCAAGATGGTTCCAAGAGGGCCTCAGAGAGCCCAAGATTACCTCCAAGATGGCCCAAGACAGCCTGAGATGGCTCCAAATGGCTCCCAAGATGCTCCCAGATGAGGCCTCACGACCGCTCCCAAGTACTGCAACATCGCGGAAGCTCACAACCAGAGCCTTCTATTTCCGAGGGCGCTGGGTACGCATGTGCTGGGCGAAATTTGCAGGAAAGGGAGGCGTCATACGGCGCAGACACGCTTGCGCTGACCAGAACAGCGGTTCTAACTCTTGTATGAAACGTGAAGAGGAAGCGTCATCTGAAGCGACCCCAACTTGCTGCTTCATGTTTCGAGCCAGGTCGATATGTGATGGCACTGGGGCCCGCAACTGGGCGAAAACGCCTGATAGGGCAAGGACCTGGTAATGATGCGCCGCCTTTTTCCTCGTTGGGCGGCTGCACGCTGAAATCTGAACATCGCGGTGCCAAAATCGGTCCCGGGTATCCCGAAATCCCGTCCGGTGCAGGGGGCGAAACGAGAGAGAGAAAGAGAGAGAGCACAAGGAGAGAAACTGATAGAAAGAGAGAGAGAGAGAAAACAAAAAAAGCATGTTGAGAGAGCAGAGAGCACGAGAGGTGCAGGAGGGCGTGGACAGTGTAGAGAAATCTAGGGACGGTGGAGCGTAGGGAGTGCAAAGCGTAGGGCGTGTGGACCACAAGGAATGCAGAGCATGCAAAGGCCGTCGAGGAAATGGGTTGCGACAAGCTAGATGTGCTCGCGCCATGTCTGACGTCCTACACCTCCCACCCATCCCTTCCCACGGCGTTGATGCTCTCTGTCCGCGGACGCGTGTCAGAGCAGACCTGGAATTCCAAAATAGACAATCGGAACAAGTGGGCAGGAGGATGAGCAGGGGGTATAGGAGGATGAGGATGGAAGAGGGCGAGGACGAACAGCAGCACTATGAGCTTGCGTAGAAGGAGCGGGAGGAGAAGGACGGCCAGTGGGAGGCGGAGGAGGGGAAAAGGAGGGGGGCGACATCCATCGATGAGGCAAGACTCGGATCCAGAAAAGAGACCTGCACTTGGGCGAGAATGCCATGCTGCGACGGGGACAAAGCGCCGATCCGAAAAGGAGGCCCGCGCTGCAGCGGGAACACACTTTTAAAGACACACGGATGATATCAAACATTATGAACGAAGTTCGCATCCTGTATAACCGGAGAGGGTCTTCAAGAACGTCCCAAACAAAATGATGGGAGCTTGGTCCTTTTTGAGCGTTCTTAGTGACAGATTGGGACCCAAACCATAATTGAAGCATGAATGTTACCCCGCATCGGCCACCGCTCAGGAATCCGCCGTCGTCGTCGCCGCCACCGCCGTCGTCATCGTCAAGACCCTCTTCTGCGCCCTCGGCATTGCTCCATTACTCGTCCACCTCCTCCTCCTCCTCCTTCTCTTTGTACGCACAGGCTGAGCAAGAGACGCCCACTGCGTGGGAGGACAAGGGGGAGGGCGAGGAGGGGAAGGACGAGAAGGGGAGGGCCGAATTTTGTCGCCAGCCGAGAGCTGAAGGGCGAGGGGGCTGGCAGCAGTAAAAAACATCCGAGATTAAACACAATACGCGGAGAAGGCCAGCCATCCTCTTAACGGAGTCAGGGGAGAGAGAGGAGAGTAGTATTCATAGTGTGCCACTCTAGACGGTAGAGAGGGTGGAGAGTACGTGGAGCATGTAGGGAGCAAGTAGGGCGCATAGGGTGTAGGCGCGCATATAGTGCAGACACCGCAGAGAACACGGAGAGCTCTTGGCGTGCTGAGGGTGTACGGAATGCGTAGAGTGTATCCACCGCCGTGTACACGGTTGTGGTCTTACAAGCAGTTGGCTTGCGTGGCTTCTGAAATGCTCTAAGGCCGACTCCCCCATCGCGACCATCGTTATCCCCCTCGAGTGCGTGCTATCTGGCACCCTTGTTGGCATCCAGACAGCTCCAACACGACGAAATATCGCTCCAAGACGGCTGCAACAGATCCGCAACAAGCACAAGACGGTCAAACGACTCCTCAACGGGTCGAAAACGGTCTTAGAAGCCCCAAAGAGGCCTCTACAGCAGCAAGACCCGAAAATGGTAAAGACATTCACAGACCTTCCGAATTCCACTGCTGTCTGCTTCCGAGG